AATTACAATCACCTCATGGTGGTCGTGAACTGTGTGTTTACATAATCTACCGACCTCCATAATATCATTTCTAACTGTATGACTTGCATCTTGATTTTTATTGGTAGTTTCACTTAATGTGAATGATACCACTGCTCCTTGATAGCTTATATGCTGTGGAAATTAACCACAATTGGACCTTTTTTTAAAATTAAAATAAGCCATAACTTGTAAATAAAAACAATACCTCTATAGACCTAGAGCAAATGTTCCCCCCAAAGATTCCTTCCTAAACTTCCATTAATTTGTATAAATTTAGGATTAATTATATTCAATTATTAATGTCTGTCTATTATGACATTATCATTCCAAACGATGTAAGGAATGTGGTAACCTTGACCCCAGCAAAACAATATATTGAACACGCCAGCTTCCGCATCGGAGAAGTAAAGGGGAAAAAAGTGCATCTTAAAAAGAGAGAATGTGGAAAATAACCAAGAAAGTGTTCACCAAGTAAGTAATTATCAAGAGAAGGCACCAAGCCTGGAAGACTATGAAAGTGTTCACCAAGAAATTGAGGTTGTGGAGAGTGTAAAGGAAAGAGAATTATCAAAAGAAAGCGCCAAGCAGGAGGTCCAGTTGCTGCAGGATCCGGGGATTCTCAGGGATTTGCTTAAGGGGATTCGTGGCCGTAGGAATCTCCAAAGCAATGAACAAATCCACAAGGGCCGTGATGAGGGTTCGAACCTACGTCCGAGATAATCCCAAAATCGAACACGATTTGTTCATTTGATATATCACGCTATTGTGATTTCTGTGTGTATTCAAAGCAATGCATGTTATCCCCCATCCAAGAGTGATACATGTTGGTATTCGCTGCGCTCTGGGATAATACAATCCTTTCGCGAACTATGAGCTTGGAGAAGGTTTAATTGCTGATAAACTATTTAGTATTGCACCGTACTGACAAAGACGTTAATATAACATGAATTTATTACATTTACATCTTGTCTACTTCGCATAATCAAACATATTGAAATCCCAGATGAGATATATCTACTCGATGAATGAAGCGAAGCAGCCGTCTTGATATCTATCAGGAGAAAGGTTTACCACCATTTTTAACTATGTGAGAAAGATTACTTCACTCCTCTAATTCCTGATACCGAGAGACATCTATAACATTGGAGTCTTCGGTTCCGTCAGTTTAATATTTTCTAATATAGTCAATATTTATGATGTACTATGAATTAAATACAGATATGAAATAAACACTCTAGTAATAACATTTGTTGCGAATTTTATCAAAAAATATAATTTTTACTGAAAAGAATTATTTTTTTAATCTCATTGTTTCAATGCTTTGATGCAGCCACGGAGGGAAACAGGGCCTTGGGTTGCTGGAGAAACACCAGGAAAAAGGAATGGTACATTCACCTGGGCTGTAGGAGACTCGAACCGAGGTTCCCAGGCAAGCTATCGACCGAGCTATTGAGTAGTCTTCATAAGGAAAGTCAATTGGAAAATTGGAGTCCCCTAGAGCCCAGGTGACTGGGATGTTTGTCTCCTAGGAAGTGTGGATGACAATTTTACAGGGAGCAGCTGGGAGTTTATTTTTAAACTTTATCTTTAAGCTTACTATTTGTATGGGAGCAAAACTCCCATGTTAATAGGTTTCTTGTCACTAATCAGCTGCTGGATTACCCATTAGCATCGTGCAGAACAGTTGTAATGGGGCTCGGTTGTTCCTCAGTGATCCTGGAGTAGCTAAGACAGCCGGCAACATGCTATCAACACCTATTGAATTACGTGCATAGGATGAACAGGATAGAGGGAGGGAATTATCAGGAGAAGGAGCCAAGCACTTACGACTATATATAGCACTTGCAAGGGGTCAGGATAAGAATTAGGGATGGGACGATGGGAAGGAATGGTGTCAACCTCTTGGACGGTCGGGGATTGAACGCCGACCTACACGAAGCGAGACCGTCACTCTACCGTCCAGCCAGCCCAAGTGGTTGGGCACAATGTAGGACAGAAAACACGAAATGCTTTTTCACCCATAGGGTTGTAAACCCGTGGAACCGCCTACCCGCCAAAACAGTAAACGTCAAAACTCTGCAGGATTTTAGAATGCTGGAAAAGACCATCAGGGCAAATGGGGGAACCTTTGACAACCCGTCGGCTTCCTATCCTCGTCGAGGCCACTAGTATTAGTGTCCAATAGAAGTTGTTGGGCTTAATAAATTAGAAGTTGAAGCGGAAATGTGTTAGGCTGTTAAGTATTAACTGTAAAAACATTAAAATAATTTATTCAACTAACATCACTCCATCCTTATATCCTTTCTAATGATATATAGTCATACCGATTTTGGCACTTTAGGCTAATAATTATCTATATTTAAGCTATCCATTAATTCTGGTTTTCTACAATACAATTATGGTGACGTTTTCTTTTATTACCGAGCTATTTAACGATAGTAAACTAAACAATTCCAATATAATAATAGTACTGCAACAGTAAACACACACACACACACACACACACACACACACACACACACACACACACACACACACACACACACACACACACACACAGTCTTTAATAATATGTTACAGACAAATGTAAAGGGTTAATATAGTTTTATAACTTAAAAGTATCCTTCGAACCGGTTTGAAAGGTGCGTAACAACACTTAGATTCAGAAATCCACTTGTGATCCACGTCTACATTGGACAGAAAGGATGTCAGTTCACTGTCATTGTCACACAGGCAGTGAGGGTATTGATCATATTCACTGCCACACAGAAAAGTGAAGATGCTGCTTATATTCCATGTCAGACGGGTCAATGAGGATTCTGCTCATATTCATTCTCATACAGGAACAGTAAAGGTCCTGTTCATATTCTTTGTCACATACGATAGCGAATATGAACACATTCACAGTCACGTTTAACAGTGAAGATGTTGCTCATATTCACGGCCACACAGGGCAGTGAGGTTGATGCTTAAATTCAAGGTCCACTGTGTATGATGTGGTGATGAGGTACTCATACACACTCAACACCACTTAGGCTGGACAGTAGAGCAACAGACTCGCTTCATGCAGGTCGGCGTTCAATTCCCGACCGTCCAAATGGTTGTGCACCAGCCCTTTTTCCCGTCCCATCCCAAATCCTTATCCTGATCCCAGTGCTATATAGTCGTAATGACTTGGCGCTTTTCCCTGATAATTCACAAAGCCTGTGTGAGTAAACACAAACACACACACACACACACACAAAACATGTAATAATTATTTTAATTTGTTTTATATACAAGTTCTTACATTCTTGTACAGCCACTAGCACGCATAGCGTTTCGAGCTATGAAATCCTAATTAATCCTTAATCCTAATTTTCACACACACTCTCATCCCCAGGAAGCAGCCCGAAGCAGCTATTTAACTCCCAGGTACCTATTTACTGCTAGGTTAACGGAGGCATCAGGGTGAAAAAAACTTTGCACATTTGTTTCCGCTTGCGGCGGGGATCGAACGCGGACCCTAAGGACTAAGAACGCCGATCACAGTCCAACTCAGCCGTCAGGTCTCCAATTAACAAAAGTAGCCACCAAGCCGAACAAAAAAAGACAAAGACATTAAGGGCTTCCGCTCATTACTCAACGATTCTTGTCTAGGTTGTTGTTGTTGTTAAAGATTCGCTACCTGGAACCAAGTTCCAAGCAGCACGGGCTATGGTGAGCCCGTAGGAGTTTTAAACGGATCCCTCAACGGCGGCCAGCGAGCCTCTCTTGCTGTATAGCAGGTCTAGATTCCACCAGTTGAAGTGTATACTTGGGCCTCGTCTGGGCTACTTTCATCCCTGTGCGTCGGGCCGACTTGACACCTTCACTAGAGATAGTTGTGTCCTCAGGACAGGCATTAGTGTCGTTGTCTGGGAGTCGACTGGTTACTTTATTGCCAGAAGTAACCTTTATGTTTTTACGGACCACTTCGTAGTCTAACACGGCCGACTTGAGCTTCTTCCCTCCTGGAAACTTGACGTAGTTGGCAGCGATGCGATGGTCAGAGTCAAACTACAAGATATCACCAACATCTACCATACATTCCGTGAGTAGTTCCTTGCCCACTAATAACTGGACTCTAAGGACGTCGTCCTGATGGGTTTTACTTAAATCAAGGCCCTTCTGGCGGTGTGTATCCCACTCCTGAACCCCATACCAGGAGTGTTTACACTCAAGAACCTGCAGGGAGAGTGAAGTTTTGCCGCCGCTAACCTCTATCTTGGGTCCGGGGAAGCAAGAAAATAATTTGCGCTGGACGGAGAACCTCATCTTGGAGGGCAGGTTCTTCTCCTCCCATACTGACGTCTCTATACGAGTGAAGTTAAGACGAACAGACATTATTGCCTCCGGTAAAGTTAGCGAACCAACAACGGGATATTAATTATTATTGTGGCCCTGGAGTCCGGTTGTCTCCGTCGCCGAACTACTTGACGTACTGCCACTGCTTAGATTAATATCCCAGATGAAATTATTTAGTTAGGAAGGAATATTCTCACCACTTATTGTAATTACTGTTTTTGTTGTCCTGGTACCGTGTTCTTCACTGATCCTTATATAACAACCACGTTGGGTGGACGGTCTAATTTCATGCAGGTCGGAGTTCAATCTCCGAACGTCCAAGTGGTTGGGCACCATTTCTCTTCCTCCCGGCCCATCCCAAATCCTTACCCACGTCAGATTAGCATGTTAAAAGCACTACAATCATGTTTTGTAATTGATTGTTCAATAAATCACTGAACTATTTGCTTAAAAGATCTCTAACCTTGTCTATGGAGGACAGAAGAAAATGTATAAGTTGGTTAGCAGTTTAAATGTGTGGCCACATTTGTGGTAGAAAAAAACCCTTCCCAGTGTTATAATGTCGTAATGGTTTGGCGCTTCTCCTGACAGTTCCCTTCCCAAAGGGATCACATCCCAGATGGAAAGTTAGGTTGGAATTATTTCTCATATTAATGAGGAAGAGTAACCAAGTTGATGAGGAAGAAAGTGCTGAAGGGTCTCATCATCTTATTCTCTCTCTCTCTCTCTCTCTCTCTCTCTCTCTCTCTCTCTCTCTCTCTCTCTCTCTCTCTCTCTCTCTCTCTCTCTCTCTCTAATCATCATGACAATGGGATGAACACTGAATAGTGACGACGGTGGGGGATAGAGAGGACGGCAGTGATAGTGAGGACGGCAGTGATAGTGAGGACGGCAGTGATAGTGAAGACGGCGATGATAGTGAGGACGGCGATGATAGTGAAGACGGCAGTGATAGTGAGGACGGCAGTGATAGTGAGGACGGCAGTGATAGTGAGGACGGCAGTGATAGTGAGGACGGCAGTGATAGTGAAGACGGCGATGATAGTGAGGACGGCAGTGATAGTGAAGACGGCGATGATAGTGAGGACGGCAGTGATAGTGAGGACGGCAGTGATAGTGAAGACGGCGATGATAGTGAGGACGGTAGTGATAGTGAGGACGGCAGTGATAGTGAAGACGGCGATGATAGTGAGGACGGCAGTGATAGTGAAGACGGCGATGATAGTGAGGACGGCAGTGATAGTGAGGACTGCGATGATAGTGAGGACGGCAGTGATAGTGAGGACGGCAGTGATAGTGAGGACTGCGATGATATTGAGGACGGCAGTGATAGTGAGGACGGCAGTGATAGTGAGGACGGCAGTGATAGTGAGGACGGCATTGATAGTGAGGACGGCAGTGATAGTGAGGACGGCGATGATAGAGAGGACGGCAGTGATAGTGCGGACGGCGATGATAGTGAGGACGGCAGTAATAGTGAGGACGATGATGATAGTGAAGACGGCAGTGATAGTGAGGACGATGATGATAGTGAGGACGGCAGTGATAGTGAGGACGATGATGATAGTGAGGACGGCGATGATAGTGAGGACTGCGATGATAGTGAGGACGGCGATGATAGTGAGGACGGCAGTGATAGTGAGGACGATGATGATAGTGAGGACGGCAGTGATAGTGATGACGGGTGTGATAGTAATGACGGCAATTCTTTACCATCCTAATTCTTTTTGTGCATAGTCCGGCCTGCCACCGGAATTTGCGCAGTAATCCAAGTTAAGGCAATTGTTAGGGCGCAGCCACGGTGGAAACTCCCGGGTCGACGAGACTGTATACGCCGTCATCCTGGTGGAGCAGCGTGAGGATTGTACTGATGTGTTAGGGGGCGAGTATACACGCGGGGAATACCGGATACTTATACAGCCCTGAGGGGCTCCTGTGTAATGACATGACTCTGGCTCCTACGTTATCTTTTATCAGGGAGGCCTATCTTATCTCTCATATGTCTCCAAGTCCTCATTAACTAGGTCTAACACCATGAATATCGTATTTCTCTCTATCTCTCCGTCTCTCTTTCCCTCACTCTATTAATTCCGCCATGCATGACTCTCTTCACTGCTTGTTCTTACATCCTGTTTCGTAACCAGTTGCCGCGAGCACGCAAAGGGCAGTAGAATGTTGTTGTTGTTTAAGACTCAGCTACTCGGAAGTTCCAAGTAGCACGGGTTATGGTGAGCCCGTAGGGGGACTTACCTGGCACAAGAGCGGCGCTGTACCTTGTGACGAGGGTAGCAGTCTAATAGGTTTTACGCACCAGAGCTGAGATGTCAAGTAATGTCTTGTAGTTCCGGGGAATGTATCGTGATTGTTGAGATTGTGCCCTGGTATCATCTATTGTGTGTAATATTTTTTACGATCCCACACAAGGTGTGTCCCTCAGCTATTATACAATGAAGACGACTCCAACAGTATCAATTAATACTTGAAAAGACTGAACAGAAAATGGGTATATGGTTATGTTTATTAAGGAATAGGTGCAATTGAATAGACTATTCAGCCAACTCCACTCAGTTTAAAATCCTGGAATGACACTGAACAGGAGTCACTGCTTAAGGTGACCGACCACAGAATAGGCGGGGGATAGAAGCTGATGCTTGAATCCAGGATGGAACCCACAACAGCTACCTAACTTTAGGGGGTATCTATTTATTTGCTAGGTGAAGAGAGGCATGAGGTGAAAGACAACGTTACCCAAACATCTTTATCTTTCCTAGGAATCGAACCTGGAGCCATTTTACATGTAACCCTACTGTGCTGACCACATATATTGAGATATGTGCATTTTGTGGGCAACTTTCCCAATAAAATGTGAACTGAATTAATTAGCAGGTAAGCCGAACATATGACATTTATGTACCTGAATAAAAATTACGGAGCACCGACGGGTTATAGTGAAGGTTTATTCATTGCTTCGCAGTACGTTGAGAATAGTGATTGATGATGGAAGCCGCGTCCAGAGAAGCGTTAAGCTGTTCTGCAGGTTCTTCACAAGTTCCTCCTGCACTTGCCCAACCACTTGGGATGGGCGGTAGAGCGACGGTCAAGCTTCATGCAGGTCGGCGTTCAATCCCCGACTGTCTAAGAGCACCATTCCTTCCCCCTCACCCCCCCCCGTCCCATCCCAAATCCTTATTCTGACCCCCTTCCCAGTGCTATATAGTCGTAATAGGTTATATTAGGTTAGTTTGTCAAAGCAACACAAGTAAAAAATAGTTTTCGGGTTTGTCCAACTCAATAGTTCAGATTTCTACTTTCTAATGTCGTTGTACGTCGGTATATATACTATGGTCCTCATCCTTACTATAAGTACTAACAAAACAGGAGAATGTGTTGATGTAATATTTAAATGAAACAAGGGTTGGGTGAGAATGCATTGATGTATACTAGTAAATCAGATGATCCAGTGTACAGGAGAAATAGATAACTAGTTAACTTAACAAGAAAGAGGAGGCCGGTATATTAGGCTAACTCAATGCACAATTTCACAAGCAGGAATGAAAAGCAGGAAGATATTCGGGAGACATTGCACTAGGCAAACGGCGAGGCTCAGGAGCTAAAACCCGTCCGGCAGGCAAACATAGGTGAGAACACACACACATAAAACTAGTCCCCAAGTTTCAGAATCAATCTGGAGTGACAAAGAGCTATGCTGATGCGGGTGAGGAATCGCGACAATTAACACCGCTACGGGCTCACCATAGGCCGTGCTACTTGGAACTTTTTGTTCCGAGTAGCTGAATCTAAAACAACAAATACAACGACAGTTAACAGGGTAACAAGGTAAAAAAGTTCAAAAGAGGAAGGAATTTTCAGAATCTAACAGGGATCAGGCCCCGTAACCCATCTTACACATGATATAAATGATTAGTTTCCGAGAGTGAGAAAGACTCCTTACTCCTAATGTTTGCTGGTGATGCAAGTAGTTGCTATAGATTACCTCAGGCCAATACAAATGAGTGGGGGCTTGTTGAACAGCGTGGAAGCAATGTTGAATGTGATCTCACTCTTGCTGATAATCAAAGAATGCAGTATATAGCAGTACTAGATGAGATAGATATTGTTCACAGTATATTAAAACCTTACAAGGAACTGCTAAGTGCTGGATCTTTGGGACAAATCTCTACTAGAACCATGACGTGCTCTTCCCAACACATACCACACAGCTCTGGATAGATAGATAGATAGATAGATAGATAGATAGATAGATAGATAGATAGATAGATAGATAGATAGATAGATAGAGCTCTAAGCTCTCTCCAAGCTTAGAGCTCTAAGCTCTAAGCCAACGTCCCTCTCCTCTGGATTAGAGTTTGGCCTGAGAATCACCTCACGCCTTAGTAAAGTTAACATCAATCTTTATAAACAGGATTTTATATGCGATGTCAACAGGGAGTTGCTTTCTTGAGCACATCATGTCCCTTCCAATATGTCCAGTATGGGTCGGATAGCATCGGTGTGAGAGGAGACGAAGCGAGTGACGGCCTTGACAACCTTCCTTCAGGCGCAAGTGGGATGTCATCCTCTGATAATGCCGGTGACCATCGTAAAAGCACTCTTATCATCTTCTTTGGTTCAGTGCTCAATACCTCACTATATAGAGCGCTGTGATTCTATAGAGTCATAGAGCACCTGCTCTATGACTCTTCCCACTTCTGGGTTACGTGATTGAAACGGGAACACTCTTTTAAGTATTGATACAATTTTAATTAATTCCTAAGCCGTCGGAAGGTGATGCAGCTTTTGGGAGATTGGGTACTTTCACTTTGCTTTTTCTTCTCACCATTCATTTCTTACCTCCGTCCCTCCTCGTCATTTCATTTTACCTCTAACCGGCTTTCAGCCTGTGTCCCTTTGCTTTACGTAGGGATAAAGCGGGTTAGAGGTAAAATAAACCAAAAGGAAACTCCAAAGGTCTTCGCTCGTACTCTAATATCTCACTTCTTCTCCTTCTGCTTACCTGCTCTATTTTGGAAGTAGATAAACGAAAAAAACTGAATAATCTGAAATCAGTCCCTTAATATACCCGCAGACCGGAGCCCGGAGACCGGAGCTCCCTACACACCAGGCTTAATGTTTCAGGTCTAGTGTGATGTTCCAGGTCTGTAACAAGCTCTTTCATTCCTCCCACGTCTATAACTTTCATTAACTACGCCGCGTGGTTTGGTGTTACAGCTGCTGAGACCTACGGTGGCTTGGTTCAGCCCAACAACCACGAAGGAGTTATTAAGGCAACTATGGTAGCTTATTGACCAATCCTATTTGTAGTTGTTTGCTTGTAAAAGTACAGGTTTTGGTGACTGGTACATGCTTGTAAAGCCACTAACAGCGTTACGGGCAAATCTTAAAGCTCACTCTGGATTTGAACTTTCAGTGTTTACTCACCTAGTTGTATTTGCGGGGATTGAGCTCTGCTCTTTCGGCCCGCCTCTCAACTGTCAATCAACTGTTTACTAACTACTTTTTTTTCTCCATACCACACACACACACACACCCCCCAGGAAGCAGCCCGTGACAGCTGACTAACTCCAAAGTACCTATTTACTGCTAGGTAACAGGGGCATTCAGGGTGAAAGAAACTTTGCCCATTTGTTTTTGCCTGGTGCAGGAATCGAACCCGCGCCACAGAATTACGAGTCCTGCGCGATATCCAACAGGCTATCCACACACAGAATAGCCCACACGCGCTATCCACACACACACACACGTGTGTGTGTGTGTGTGTGTGTGTGTGTGTGTGTGTGTGTGTGTGTGTGTGTGTGTGTGTGTGTGTGTGTGTGTGTGTTTTCACCTAATGTTTGTTTGCTTGTCATTACACATATAGAAGCAGACATTACACACACACATACAAATAGATGCACTTGACTGTCAAAGAACATACACGATTGTTCACATGATTGTAAGAGAAAGAGGAAACTGTGCATCAGGGCTCACTATAGCCCGTGATACATGGACATTTCGTTCTGTGTAGCTAAATCTAAAACAACAACAAAAACGTGCATCAGGTGCGCAGGCGTACATGCGCACGTGTTAGCTGGTGGGCGTGGCAGGAATGCCCCCGGATATAATAAGGAAGAAGTGAAGGGAACATCAGTCAGGAGGCATCGTCGCAGAAGTCGACATGGTCAGCTGCTGCAAGGTAGGTCCTTCGTCTGAGAAGGGAAGGGTGGGTCCGCAGAATAGGGATGGGTGGGGCACCAATGGGAGGGGAGAATGGATACCCAGGGTACAGGAGGGTTGGTGCCCAGTGTACTGAAAGAGGTGGGTGGGTGGATACTCAATGTAGAGGGGTGGATACCCATTGTAAAGTTGAGTGTTAGCCCAGTATCGAGGTGGGTGGGTAGAGGAGAGTGGGTTCCCAGTTTAGGGATGGATACCTAAAGTAGAGAGAAGGTGCCCAGGGTAGAGGTAAATGGATGCCTCTATCCTGTGCGTGCCATATTCCATATTCCAGAGGTAGCTGGATGCCCAGTGTTGAGGTAGATGGATGCCCAGGGTAGAGGTAGATGGATGCCCAGTGGAAACGTAGATGGAGGCCCAGTGTATAGGTATAGGTAGATGAATGCCCAGTGTATAAGTAGATGAGTGCCCAGTGTATAGGTAGATGGATGCCCAGTGTAGAGAAGGCCAGGTGCCCGGTGTAGAGGGTGACTGTCAATTATACACTAAGATTCAAAATATAAAAACAAATTAATCAACAAATCTGGCTAGAGGAAACACAATGGAACACACACACACAACAGCCAAGGCAGCCGCAGTTACGGGAGGCTTACAAAGGCTCCACTAATGTACACATTGTCATTCACAACGGGCATCCTTGGCGTCCGCGTCCTTGGATGCTGCCACATATGGAAGAAACTCTCGCTTTGAACAGAAAGCGAAAGGGAGAATGGTTGCTGGAATTACACTTCGAGAAATAACACAGATGAAAATAATACATTTGATTACTGACTGAGATTTGAGGTTATGTCTCCAATACGGGATGTTAGTTTACTGGGTAACTACTTCTTATTCCAGAATCGTAAATGTTTTTGTTGTTTGAACGGTGTTAGCTTCCTTTGAATGAGACGTTAGTTTGCACATATATTGAGATTTCTTTCAAGATGCCTGACTGTGCAAAAGGTTCATCTACTTGGACTCGTCGATAGAGCGAAGACCAAGCTTCATGTAGGTCGGAGTTGATTGATTGATTGATGAAGATTAAGCCACCCAAAAGGTGGTACGGGCATGAATAACCCGTAAGTGGTGGCCTTTTTGAGCCATTACCAGTATCAAGAGCTGATACTGGAGATCTGTGGAGGTGCGACTGCACCCTGCGTGACGGGAGATGTCTCCCGAGGTCGGAGTTCGATTCCCGACTGTTAAATAGGTTGGGCAGCGCTCCTTCCCTTCTTTCTATCCCTGCTCCTTGACCTCATGTCCCTTCCAAGTGCTAGATAGTCAAATTGACTTAGCGTTTTATCCTCATTATTACGTTATCTGGCCATGCAAAAGCAACAAGTCTGTTACAAATCACATAAATTTTACACATAAAAAGACCATCTCCAGAGATATCCTCACCAACAACTCAGAAATAATCAACATATACCACGACAATAGGAAATGTGACCTAACCGAAGCACTGCATATCAGACACTTTCCCTTCAATTATTACCAGCTAATATACACTTAGATACAACCTAAAATCTTCAACAGCAAGACTCAGCTACGTGTCTGCACCGGAAAGATGGCTCGGTCCTCTCGACAGGGTAAGCAATATAATATACATTCCGATCTCTGAAGACTTGCGTTCACTTTCTCTCTCACTCCGAACAAGAACGTTACAAGTATAGATTTTTTTTTTACAATCATTGATCTAACTCTCTCTCTCTCTCTCTCTCTCTCTCTCTCTCTCTCTCTCTCTCTCTCTCTCTCTCTCTCTCTCTCTCTCTCTCTGTCTCTCTCTCTCTCTCTCTCTCTCTCTCTCTCTTATATACAATAACACACAGTTACCAGACTACGGGCCAGTGTTCAGGCCCAGGAATCGAGCTCAGACCGAGACAGAAAACAAAAAGGCTGATTTTCTTTCATCTAATGCCTCTATTCACCTAGTTGAAAATAGATACGACGCAATAGATACAATAAACATTATATTGTGTGTGTGTGTGTGTGTGTGTGTGTGTGTGTGTGTGTGTGTGTGTGTGTGTGTGTGTGTGTGTGTGTGTGTGTGTGTGTGTGTGTGTGTGTGTGTGTGTTTTCAAGTGTTATACAGTATTCCATTAACTTACGGGCTCACCATAGCCCGTGCTACATGGACATTTTGTTCTGAGTAGCTAAATCTAAAACAACATTCCATTGACCAAGTCCACTACCGTCTCACCATAGCCCGCGCTACTTGGAACTTGTGTTCCGAGTAGCTGACTAGAATCTAAAACAACAACATTTGTTTTTGATTATATACAAGAGTTCTTACATTTTTGTTCAGTCACAACACGCATAGCAGTTCGTAAAAGTCCTTAATCCTAATTTTCCCCAGAATAGGACCCGCCCCGAAATCGTTTAACAACCAAGTACCCATTTACTGCTGAGTGAATAGAGGCTACAGTTAAGGATTGGCGCCAAGTAAAAATAAAAAAAAAACTAAACTCCATTGAACTCCACTTTCAGCTCAGCTCCCGTGTCAGGTAAGTCCACTACGGGATCACCATAGCCCGTGCTACTTGGAACGTTTTACTCCGAGTAGCTGAATCTAAAAACAACAACATTCCATTGACTGTAATGTGTTGATTAACACAAAATCGCTCAACTCATTTCTTGTTTCAGGTTTCCTTCGTGATTAAATATTTTCACATTACAATATTTTATTATTATTATTTATACGAGATCGACTAACGTCATTACGTTACCAACACCTCCGCCAGGTAACGGTGGCAGTGCTGGTGGTGATGCTACTGGTGGCTGTGGACATGGTGGAACCCGCAAGATACGGCTACGGCAGGTGGCTCAGGCCCTATAGGAATAGAATCCAATCTTATGATGAGATCAAGAAGATGTTCGGTCCTTACGTGAGTAGTCTGTTGTTGTCCCCCCGCCCCCCCCCCACACGCCTGTGGTCGTCAGTAGCAATAACTGAAATAATTTTGTTTAGTGAACAATTAGATTTTGTGATATTTGGATTTTGTTCATTATTATAGTTTCTGTTTATCGTCGAAGACAGTACGTTAGGACTACAAATTTTAATAAATTACATAATAATAAAAACTATAATAATAATATTAATACCAATAATAATAATAATTATAATAATAATAATAATAATAATTTATTCATACTAGTTACTAACTACGCCTATTCACCAATTACGTACTGGTCATTAGTTACGTAGTAGTTACGCTTTAGTCACTACACCCTCGTCACTAGTTATGCACTTGTCACCAGTTACTAGTTACGTACTAGTCATTAAGTTGATAAGGAATTCCACGGCTTCCGTCTCCCTATATCTCTCTCACATTGCGTTCTGAGACACTTGACCTGTTTGGTAGAGCGACGGTCTGACATTTTCTAGGGACAACGTTCGATTCTCGATGGTGCAAATAGTATCACACTGTTTCTTCCCTTCGTCCTCATATTCTAGTTCTTTGACCTCATATCCAAGCTCCTTGTCCTCATTTTCCAGCTCCTCGTCCTCATATATCAGCTTCCATTCCGCATATCCCTGCTCCGTGTCCTCATATCCCTCCCACTTGCTATATAACCTTATTGCCTCAGAGTTTTCGCCTCATAATTGCCTCACCATTGTATCCGCCAGTCTCGTCAGTATATGTATATACAGATTTCCTATTTCTCACTAAGACTCGCAATTGCTTTAAGAGCGATAACTAATTTTCACGTATTTTCTTCGTGTTTGAGTGCGAGTTAGGGAGTCTTGGATGAGATGACTCTCCGGTTGTAAACATGACCGAGTCAGGTGTCTGCCAAAGACCTGTGAGGGTGATACTTTAATTACAGGTAAGGGAAGATTTAGCATTCATCTCAAGGGGCGCTGATTCCCTTGCCAATGGAGACTAGTCCTCCTAATAGAACGTCGTATTTTGACGTATATTTTACCTAAGATCAAAAATCATCGTACTAGAAAATGGAAGCGGCTCGCTAGCTTGACATACTGCCCCGTTTTCTATTTTGGGTCCTGTGGTAGGTTAGGATAATGGCACTTTAGTACGACAGTTTCTGGACGGTGGGAAACCTTAGGAGAACGGGCTGGAGGGAGACGAGA